TCGTGCCAAAAAAAAAATATATGCTATATTTGAGCATATCAGAAGTGCACATGAATTTTTTCAGATTTTTCACTGGGGAAATTTTCGAGAAAATAATTACTAAATATTGACAGTTTAACACGGTCTCTTATGGGAAAACAAGGTTAGGTTGCCTTATAATTGAAATTAGGGTACATCACAAATGTGTTAGATTAAAAAGAAACACTTTTAGTGACACCTCAGTACAAAACGAAGATGCTCAACAAAAAAATCACAACTCACCATGCATTTTTCAAAGATATAGTCAGTTACAGTTGTACAGTTTGAAGTTTGTTGAGTGCAAGAGCAGGTACGTGGTAAAGGGGGCACATTTGCGCGGGCAGGAAGGACTCCCCGTTCCTCGCCTCTCTGAATGATACTCCCGAACCTCCTTAACTTAAAAAATCACCTTAGTTACGAACGATAATATTGTAAAAAGATAAGACGCAAGGAAAATCAATTATAGTATTTATCAACCCTCGTATTCAAAACACTTTATCGTCCGAATTTTTGAATAATTACATTAGTTTTATAAACTATTTTATTTTATTGCCTATAACTCAATAGCAACAAATTTACTGTTGATAATTGCCTCAAGCACAAGAAAAACCTTTTTTTACTTCGCCTATTCCACTTCATTCAATTCTCACAAGAGTTAATGACAGAATCAGATTTTGCAAATCATTGGATACTTTGAGAAGTAGTTTCCAGGAAGATGTTTTACCACTTTCCGTGGCAACAGAAAAACTTTGGGAACTCACAACCACAGATCCTGCTTTTTCTGATATATCTATTGGGCCTGTTCTACTCTCTACATTTGTTAAGGAAATCGATCCTATATGCATAGCCAGTAATTATTTTGATCCCACCTATCATGGAGAGCGTTTCAAACNATGTGTGCTGTGGTGGTGTGGTGTAGATAGAATCAGCGTGGGGCAGTATGGCGTGACGTGACGGGGCGGAGAGGGGGGGTAGTAAAATGAAAAGTTAACCTCTGTCACATATTTCTCAAGGCTAGAATCGTTGATTTTCTCTAGGACATAACGCGCTTACAAAAGTATGACTTAAAAAAAAATAGTAGAAGGGGACGAATAATCTAAATAGGTTCTATCTGCATAGAAGTTTATTTTGAGATTTTGGTATGGGAGTTCAGGAGTCGACACGCTTAGCACGCAGGGGCTTGGAGCCCCACTAGTATATGTATACGCGAGATTTAACAGCTACTTAAGAGATCGGGAGGTCAAGGAGTGGATCCCACTAACGATTTTCTTCCCATTTACACTCCAGACTACACGTTCTCATATTACGTGTTTACTCTAGTATTATATACTGTAAAGTACATATGGATTCTTATAGAAAATATAATTAAAATTTTTTGCTTTCAATACTCTTACCTAGTGTCATTTTAATAGGAACTAAAAAATTGTTAAAATTAAAACCTTTTTTTTGAACACATACACAGTTATATATAAACATACGAAAAAATGGAAACTACAAATTTTTGATTTGCAACAATTTGTACATGACTGTGAGGCCGAATTACGGAGTATTATCTTCTCTCTCTATTATCAAAATAAAACATAGTTTTTAAAAAAAGGTACAAATGGTTTTTTCATTCGTTTAAATAATTTAATTGAGAATCTGTATGTAATTAGTAATAGAAAATGACCCGTGAGCTTATAAACTCACGATATTAAACTCATGAAAATTAACTGGTTTTTCCGTAGATTCCTTCGTACGTAATTAAAATGAATTATTCAAGCAGTTGACAAACACTGAAATTGTTTTTCAGTGATATTCTTACTCCGTTAATCAACTCAGTAGGAGGATGAAAATTTTTTATAATAGTTTCAAAAATCATTGCAATTTCTCAAGAGTTCTATTTTTCTATTTTCTTGCATACTTTATGTTTCTAATCATGTATCATTTCGATCTTTAGTTTATTTATTAATACATTTTTTAGTAAAATTTTTTTTAATTAATCGCTATCTACAACACCCTCCTGACAAATCTCACCTGAGATCTCATCTGATATCTCATGTGATTTCTCACCTGAGATCTCATGCCAAATTCTCATCTGAGATCTCAAGTGAGATTTTAGAAAGAAAAATAAATAAAAAAATTTTGTGCAACAATTATAATTTATACATTAATAGAATAATTACCGAAAATATCAACAGTTATAGGAAAAACAAAAAAAATTCGGCTAATATGGGACACGAACTCGAGCCCCC